AGCGGTGAGTGTGGCCAGTGCGGCTCGGCCCGGGGCTCGGACCGCGGCGCTGGCCTGCAGCGACATCGGGGGGTCCCCTTGCCCCAAGGGCGCTGCTGAGGGGGCGGTCTGAGGACTGATTTCTGGCTTGACGGTGTTGGTGTTTTCTGGTTGTTTTAGAGCCCCCGGTTGTCAGGATGGACGGCCCCGAAATGGCTGGGAGCGAGGAGGAAGGCAGCAGCCCCTGCCCGGCCTGGTGCCCCGCTATTCCGTGCTGGAGGCAGTCACCTGGGTGAGGAGCAGCAGGCAGGGCCGGGTGTCCCTGGCCAGGAGGAATGTCGCCAGAAGACCTTGGGGGGGTGAAGGGGGATGGGAGCTGTGGACGCTGCAGGAGCCCCCGGGGAGGAGAGCTGTGGTGGGAGGCTCCCCGAAATGGAGCTGTGGGCAAGCTGCCGCAGGGAAACAGGACAGAAGGAGAGAGTGGGGCTATTTTCCTTGACTTGTGTCTTCTTTTCTTCAGGGAGCACTCGGTGCACTTCTTCTGCAGCTGGTCAGACAGATCTCATGGCTGAGATCGCTGCCGGATGCCAGGAGAGAGCACAGATCTCCCTGGCTTTCTTCGTTGCCCTCTCAGCAGACAGGTTAGCAGCTCTGGCTTGTGAGAAGGGGCTGTGGGAGGGCCCGGCTGTTGGACAGGATTGCTGCTTCATGATATGTTAACTAAGACTGGAAGAGAGCTGTTGAGAGAAGCTGACAGCCAGTTTTCAAGCTCTCTGGGAAGAGTGAGGGCTGGTATCTGTAAGGAGAATCTCACTGTTTCTTAAGGATTTGATGCAATCCCATTTTTCATCCCACATGCCCTTACCATTGTTTTCTATTATGGATTCCACTTCCTGAACCTCCCTCCTGCTTGGCTTTGTGGTCAGAGCAGAGAAGGACACTGGGTAGATAAACAGACCAGTGTTGTCTCCTAAAGCAGACGCTGCACAGCTAACGGGAACTGTTTTGTACTCTGTATTTCAGTGGAGACTGAAGCCTCAACCAGCTGTCCTAGGGCACAGCTGGGGTCCCACTTCCTGCAGAAAGCAAGTCCAGAGGTTACACTAGAGAATTCATCCTCGAGCATCCCCTCAGGGCAAGGAGAGAGCCAGCCCTGGGCAGAAATAGGTATGTGCAATGTGCTGGTGGTCAGAATACTTGTGGTAGAAGGACTTCTGAGTCTGAATTTCCTGAAGGCAAAGCTAGGAGCTAAGGAGCGTATAGCCATTTATTGACACTTGAAGAGGTAAGTTAGAGAAGAAAGACAGAACTTAAGAGAGATGAGTCAAGAGTCCAGAGACAGGAGGGAAAAAATCTCCTGAAGGCAGGTAGCAGCCTGTGCTGTCACTGCTGGAGCAGGCATCAGCCTTACCAGTACTGGGCTGCCTTAGTGACCTGATTACAGCATCCGGTTTCTGTTCTTTTATTGTGGACAGATGTTTGCAGTCAGAAGACTTCTGGCAAATAGTGCACCAATGATCTGGGAGATTTGTAACACAGTGTGAAACTAAAGGAATTCTCTTCTTCCGGGAAGATGAGGATGTATTTCCAAGCAGTTATGCTGTAGATAAGACAGTGGAAGGAGGTATTAAAGACACTCTTATTAAAATGAGTTTTATAAAAAATGGGAAGATAAAAATAATTGTATTCTTACCCAGAAAAGCATGTCCTATATGTCAAATTCTTGTC